TGAATTTTTCACCTATGTTACTGCCACCCAGATCAAGATACACAATGTTTCCAAGAACCCACTACCCTTTCTGGTCTAAACCCCACCCTCTGCCCTGAGGAAGGACTGTGCTGACCTGTATCAGCATTGAATAATTTTTACAGTGGTGGCTTTTTTACCTTTACACCCTAATGTTTAAGAGAGAACTTTATCATGCAGTTTTATTTAAGAATAAATACTGAGAGACCAGCATGGCATAGTGGTTACATCGCTGGACTCCCATATAGCCCACCACAGTTCGAGTCCCAGACCTAGTGGTTTCAAACTCACTGTGGGCACATGTGCATGTGTGCTCAGAATCCCAAGAGGAGAATGGATTGTGGTATGGCCATCCCCCTGGGAAATGATTTCTCGCTTTCTGTCTCCCTTTCTCTTTGGTGAGTATACGTGCCCTATAACAAAAATCTCTCTAATTGGAGGGAAAAAAAAAGAAGAAATACTGAATTTACTAAATTTCTACTTAGAAATAATTGTTTTAGTATTTGCCTTTGTATATATTTACTTGGTCTTACAGGAGTCTTCAGTTCCCTATATTCTACTTTCATTCATATATCTTGAGAGCCTTATGTGGTCTTTCCCACACATGGTTCAGTCTTTTGGTTCAACTGACTCATGTCAATTATTGCTTTTTGCTTCCTGCTCTAGGCCCCTGGAATTGTCTTTTTTTTTTTTTTTTTCTTCTTACCTGTTTACTGAATAACCTGAGTCAGAAATAGGCCATATCTGTCAGACTCATAATTATGAATGCAGTAACATGTTTTAGTTTTCTGAGAATGTAAATTCCTTTGTGGCCTAAAAGTCTAATTTATTTTCTATTGGCTGTTTGATTTTCAAAATCATTATGCATTGTGGAACCAGCACTTAGCATAATGGCCATGTCGCCGAACTCCCATGTAGTCGACCATAGTTTGAGTCCCGGACCTGGTGGCTTAAACTCATGCCGGACGCTCGTGTGTGTGTGTGCCCAAGATCCCGAGAGGAGAAGGGATTACAGTGTGGCCATCACCCCGGGGAGTGGCGGTGATTTCTTGCTTTCTTGGTATTTTTGGCATGCATGCACACGCGCCTGGCATGAGTTTCAAGCTCTGGGTCTGGGACTTGAACCGCTGTGAATTATGTGGGAATCCAGCAATATAACCATTATCCCATCAGCTGGTCCCAAAGATTTTATTACATAAAATTATACATTTCCGTGTGGTAAAAGACACCATGCATGAACAAAATCAAGAGCTAAACTGTAGACTTGAAGAAAATATTGACTACTCGTATAAGAGAATAGCTTAAAATATGGAGAGTGCCCACAAATTGATTAGGAAAACATGACTCAACAGAAAAATCAGCAAAGCGTATAAACAGGGAGTATGCAGATTCACCGTTTCAGTTAACTGGCATATAAATCAGGGAAAAACAAATCAAGACCAGTTGCCCCTTTTAACCCATCCGATTGACAAAATTAGGGTGATTGGTGCTATCCAGTAGTTGGGATGCTTGCTTGAACTGTTACAGTCAATCTTGTGATATTTTGAGAAAGCATCTGAGAATACTTAGTAAATATTTTAAAAGCTTATTAATGTAGTTTGTCCATGAGAGAGAGTTCGAGACAGAAGGCAGAGGGAGACAGGCACCCCAGCAGGGTCTCCACACCACAATCTACCCACAGTCCTAGCCAGCCCACTGCACATTTGTGCATATGTAGAATGGTCAGGGAGGTCCCAGGACCTAGGACTTTACCCATGTGGGTCCATTTGGGTTATCACTGTGCTACCACCTGGCTCTATCGATATGTATCTTTTAAAAAATTATTATTTAATTTTATTATTATTTTTGAGAATTTGCCATAAGGCATGTGCATTCACCAGAGCGATAATATATATTTTGATACCAGCATCTCACCATGAGAATCTGTTTCAGAAATAAAAGTAATGGTAAATAAAGATATATACATAAGGAATATGTTTATTGTAACACTGTAGTGGCAAAATTAGAAACAGGATGATTGCTAGTCATCCTTGAAAATAGTTGAATAAATTATGGTCTGCCTGCACTAAAGAATATTCTGTGTCAATTAAAAAGAACAAGTTATACCTATATATTTATACTCCATGAAGGATAACCATGAGGTATATTTAGTGAAAAAGGCATGTGACAGAATAGTGTATATATGCTGGTTCCATTTTTGTAATAATTTTATTATTTAAAAAGCTCGAGAGGTTAGAGAATAAGGAGCATAGACTTGAGATAAATTGGAGTAGGAGATAGGGAGACTAGGTAGGCACTGTGTTGGTCCTGGGGAGAAGGCTGAACTGTGACAAAAGAAATAGAAAATTAATGGGAATAGGAGAGATTTAGGAAGTAGAATTCATAGGATTTAAACTAGAGAAGGATCGTTGGGGGCTAGGATTCTAATCTAGGAGACTAGATAGTAGTGTTGCTGTTTATTGATAAAAGAACAAGGAAGAAACATGTTTTAAGAGGAAAAAACAGTTTAGGTTTAGAAAACATGGGGGCTGGCAGGTGGCATGGTGGTTATAGGTGCTGGATTCCTACATGGTAGACCGCAGTTCAAGTCCTGGACCTGGTAGCTTGCTTTTTACTTTCCCTCTCTTTGACTCTGATCAAACTGGAAAATAATAATAATACATTATTTTTAATTGTTTTATTTAACTTTATTATTATTATTTTCACATGAGTTTTGCCAGAGAAAGACTGAGATAGAGGAAGCAAGCCGCTTCCTCTCACTCTCATTCTCTCACTCTGTCCCTCTCTGGTCAAATGAAAAACAAAACAAAACAAAAAACAACCTTGTTATTCATAGTTTATTTCCTATTTTTCAGACAAATCAGCTACATTGCATTATTGAGTTTCTTTATAACTTCTCTGTGATTATGATAGTTACATACATATACCTCCAGCGTTCCTCATGCTGTGCACTATGTTGTTAGTTATACTTTTATTTCTCCCTTCGGTGTTTTCACTTCCTCTTTGGCATTACAGTTTTAAATGCATTTCCTTCTGTTTTTCAGAGAAACGAAATGATCAAAGATAGCTTAGTTGGTATTAATAGGTCATTATATGGATAGCATTTGAACTAGTGAAAGATCAGTTTAGAGATTAGGTAATGGCCAGTAAGTGGAGGATGTTGAATAGTGGAGTTTAGATTTTATTCTGTAGGCAGGAGTGAGCATTTGAGGGTAGTTTGAAGTATGCATTGGTATAAACAGAGGACTGTGTTCCAGGAAAGTGATACCTGCAATGTGAGAAATGGATTAAAAAGCAAGAGGAGTTAAGGGTGGTAAGTAGGAAATCCAAATAGGAGTCTGTTGCAGTACACATAGAGATGGAAAGAATCCAGGCAATGCTGGTGGCAGTGGTAGTGAAAAATAAAAGCTGATACTAAAAAGAGCAGTCAGTACTGCCTAATGAGTGGACCTAGGGGAAGGAGGAGATAGCCAAAGGCTGTAACTAAGAAAATAACAATAAAACCTATACAAAGGAAATCTAGAGTTGTTTTTAGGAAACTGTAATCTCATTTTAAGGCCTGTAGATGCTTAAACCTATACTGTGTAATTGAATGAAGTCTCAGGAGAGATGGGCTGCAAGATTGTTGAAAATTATTAGGTAGATGAAACTTCGATGATGAATATAGTCTCTGCGGAGGAGTATAGAGCAGGCAGAGCACAGGTAAGAGAATTGAGTCTTGTGGGTATATCCATACTTAGGATGCTGGAAAAACAGAGACAAGGTCAGATCATGTTCATTAATGTTTAGAGGAAATACCTTTCTAGTTCTGTAACATTTGTTGGTGTGGTCGTTTTTGACTCCTCTCCAAACATGCTCTATGTATGACTGGATCATCTTTTCCCTCCCCTCCCCGCCCCCAGAGACTTTTGCTGTAGGGTACATGTGCTCACCAGAGAGATGGAGATTGGTAGAGACTGATATAAAGTGAGTGATCACCCCTCGGGGGGATGGCCATGCCGCAGTTCCTTCTCTATTCTCCTCTCTGGATTTTGGGCATGAATTTAAGCCGCCCGATCCAGGACTTGGACTGTGGTCGACTACATGAGTGTCCAGCGATGTAACCATTACATCTGCTGGTCCCCTGATCGCTTTTCATGGGTGCCCCAATCTTTCTGTCCACAAAATGAGGTCTTTATCATTCATTTTTAAAATGCTAACACTGTGACTGTCTAGGTATCTCCACATTCTAAAACAGTAGGAATGGAGTGCTATTCACATGTGTAATATAACATTTTTCAGTAGCCACATTAAGGGGGAAAAAAAAGTAAAACGAGACCCACTGCGGTGGCACCGGTGCTGTTTTTACTTGCAACACTTTTTTTTTTTCTCTCAAACCAACCAATTCTTCTACTCCCCAAACACCAACTGGGTATCCTAAAATTCAGTTCTTATGTTATTGTCACTACTATTGGGTTGTCAGGAAAGTTATGATGCATTTTTGCCTAGAAAAACACGTCATGACTTACCCAACAACCTAATAGTGTAAGACTCAGTCTCATAAGACTACTCTTTCTTCAGACCTCAGTAGCAGGAGTCTGTTCTCTAGGTTACCCATGTTTCTGACTGGCTTAGCTACACAGTCAGGGGTTCTCACAATCCCCCTTCTTTTTCAGGTTCAGTAATTTGTTAGATCTCACAGAACTCCAGAAAATACTTACTGTTACCAGTTTATTGTGAAGGATTCAAATGGACAGCCAAATAAAGAAGTAAATAGGATGAGGTGCGGTCCAGTGGGCTCCCCAGCACAGGAACTTGTGCCTTGGATGAGTTGGGTGTGCCAGTGTGCTGAGATATGGGTAGCTTCTCTGTCTAGGAAGCTCTCCAAACCTTTCCTATGGGATTTTATGGAGGTTTCAGTATATAGACACTGGTTAAATCACTAGAGGCTAGGCCTCTAACTGTTGATTTATATCTTTAAGTAATTCTTTCTTTTTTAACAGAAATAAAAGCAACAGTGTTTGATGACTGCAAAAAAGAAGGAGAATGGAAGGTAGGATTTGCAGATTTTGCCTTATATTGAGTTCTTTAGATAATGACTTTTAAGATAATTTCTATTAGAGATTAGGATCTGTTTTCCTTTACATCCTAATTTGACTGCTTAATGGTTGTGAGTTCTTATACTAGTTACTTGACTTTTTTTCTGCCTCTTTTCTTTGTCTATGAAATGGGGATGATAATCCCTCATAAAGTAGTTGTAAATGTTTTGTGAATTAATCCACATAAACTGCTTGAATCATACTTGGAACATATTATTCTACAAATGGAAACTTATAATTCTAAGAAAATATGTTAACTATAAGATACAGTTTTAGTTGCCAGTGGGTATGTGTACTGACCAAAACAGAGAGAAGAGAGATGGAGAAAGCACCCTGCAATCCCATCTCCGGTTGTTTCTGTATGCTAGTGAGATTTTTGGACATGTACACACATGCGCCCAGTCTGTTGAGATTTGAACTGTAGTCAGCCAAACTTTTTAATCATGATTGTAAAGGTTTGAAGAATTAAGGAATTTTAGTAAGTGTGTTTCTGAGGAGGTTATGTGGGGTCTGACTCCCTTAACCACTCGGCTACAGAACCAATCCCATAAGATTTGTTTAAAAATGAAAATCTCAAAGAATAAAAACAGGGACCATCAGTAAGCATAATAGCCATGTCTCTGAACTCCCATGTAGTCGACTGCGGTGGCTTAAACTCATGCTGGGCGCATGTATGTGTGTGCCCAAGATCCCAAGAGGAGAATGGAGGAAAAGGGATTGCGGCGTGGCCATCCCCCCGGGGGGTGATTTCTTGCTTTCTGTCTCTCTGTCTCTCTCTGTTTTTCTGGCAAGCGCACGCGCCCTATAGCATAAATAAAATAAATAAATAAATTAATTAATTAATTGATTAATTTAAAAAAAAAAGAACCATCTCTCTGCTTTAAAATAGAAATATTTCTTTTTGCTTATTTATGTATAATATTATACATACATATATTGAGAAAATAAATTTTAGATGATGCAATTTAAAATAGGAATTGAGAGGGCTGGCAGGTAGCGTGGTGGTTAAGGCGCTGGACTCACATGAACGACCTCAGTTCAAGTCCTATACCTGGCAGCTTGCCTTCTCTCACTTTCCCTCTCTCTCTCTGGTCAAATTGAAAGATGGTAATAATAAATAAAATTAAATAATTCTTTAAAAATATCTAAGTTGAGGGACCAGCTAATGGTATAATGGTTATATCTCTGTATTCCCACATGGCCGACCATGGTTCAAATCCCAGACCCGGGGCTTGAAACTCACACCTGGCGCGCGTGCATGTGTACCCAATATACTGAGAAGAAAATGAAGGAGAAGGGATTGCAACATGGCCATCTTCCCTGGGGGGATGATCTCTTGCTTTCTGTCTCTCTATCTCTGTCTATCCATGAGTGTACATGCCCTATCACAAAAATCTCTCTCTCTTAAAAAAAAAAGAGATCATTTTGTCTACTGTCACATTTAAATTTTATGTTATAAAAGGTTTTTCATTTTGAGTAGGTTTTATAGACAAAATTCTGTCTTTTGTGAATTTTTGTCAATCAGATGCTTATACTGTTTCTTAATTTGTGTTTCTCTAAGATAATGCTTTTAGATGAATTTACTACTAAGCTTTTGGCCTCATGTTGCAAAATGACAGATCTTCTAGAAGAAGGCATAACTGGTAAGTGTTACTAATTCTCATCATAAAATATTTTTAATTATGATTGGGCAGGTTTGAAAAATTAAGAAATTTTCATTAGTAAATATATTTCTGAGGAGGTTATATTTTATTTTTGTATGACTCTGGCCATACAGTTAGATTTGACATCCTTTTTTTCTCTGTGAATGCAGAGGTAATAACCTCTGTAAGTCATGTTTGTTTGTTTGTTTATTTCCCTTTGCTGATACATGTAAGTTTCCTTAATCAAGACTAAGTCATTTACCTTGTTGAGGTTGGTCTTTAAGGTTTTTACTCTTATGTATTTAACAGTTTTGTATATTGATATGCTAGATTGACCTCAGTGTTTTGATTGATTATGCTTTCCATGTTTGCAAAATACTGATAAGGTTGTTTTGAGTTAATAAATAATTCGTATACAGTGCTTAGCTTGGTGTATCTGATGTCATATTTGCTATTATAGTATTATTTTTTTAAAATAAATACATGTTTAAATGTTTAATGTATATTTTTGGTTTCTTCATGGCATGTTGATTGCTTATGCTTGTAGACCACCTGACTGTAAGATCACTGCTTTCTCTCTTTTTTCTCACAATGGGAAGTCAACTAGATTCAGGGTTTAGCTTCAGGGAAAATGTATAAGAAGGTCTTCAAAAAGTTAATGGTAAAACATATTATGAAAAAATTATGCATGGATTTCAAAAATTGTTTTCAACAAAATAAAGTCATAATTTAATTCCATTTCCATGAACTTTTAAAAGCCTATGTATTTTCAGGACTTTTTAACTTATCATAGAAAATGTTAAACCCAGTACTTGTAAATGTGCTCCCTACTACTACAAATGGAAAGTGCAATAAAGTTTATTTTAAAATTGTCTCAAGTATATAAACATTTGGTTATATAAAATGACTTTTTTTGTTGTTAGTTGTAGAGAATATTTATAAGAATCGCGAACCTGTCAGACAAATGAAAGCTCTTTATTTTATCTCTCCAACATCAAAGGTGAGTATTTTGAGTTTAAAATGTAGATCTTTCATTATTTTCATCATTATTGTGGTTTGCTAATAGAAAATTCAAAGTAGCTGAAACCAGCAGTTGGCATAATGGTCATGTTGCTGGACTCCCACGTAGTTGACTGCGATTCAAGTCCTGGACCCGGTAGCTTAAACTCATGCCAAGCACATGTGCATGCAT